ACCCCGGCGAAAGGTCACTCTCACGTCTAGTCGAAAGATCATGGCTAAGCGACTACTTCAATCTAGGACGTGTGCGGAAACGTGATGCAGGCACCGTTATCCTACTCGCCCTCCTCCTCCTCCCTTGACCGAGGCAGTGGGCTGCTGGCCTGGGTCTTGGATTAGGGAGTCGTGGGGGCCTGTCTGTCAGGCCGGTGCTCAGCTCGAGCTTCCAACGTCGACTAGGAGGAGGCGAAGGAGGAGGAGGAGTTGAAAAGGAGGAGGAGGAGAAGGAGGAGCATCGAGGATCGAGGATCGAGGAAGGGGCCGCGTGGAAGGCTGAGGAGAAGGACGACTGGAACGAAAGGGTTGAGGAGGAGGAGGAGAACGAGGAGGAGTCGGACGACGACGACGACGACGACGACGACGACGACGACAGGAAGTTCAAGTCTGCTCCTGATTACGAACCTACTGCTCCACTGCTCCACTTATTCACTGTCCGCGCTGGAGACCGTCTCGGCGAGCGCGCAGATGACCATCACGCCGATCGCAGCGCGCCACCGTCGCAGGCAACTGTTACTGTTGCTGCTGCTGATCGCTGCCGTCACTGCCGCCACTGCCACTCGACATTCGCCGCCTGCTTCCACATGCGGGAGACGACGAGGGAACGGAGAAGGAGGAGGAGGAGGAGGAGGAAGAGGCGGAACAGGATAAGACAGGAGAGGAGAGAAGGCGAGAGGAGAAATCGGGAGAGAGGGAGGACAACGACTGAAGGAGGAAGATGATGAAGACGAGGGCACAGATGAGGACGAGGACGACGACCACCGCCACGGCGACCCCCACCACTACCACGACCACGAAAGGAGGAGACAGGATGGAGGAGAAGGGGGAGCAGGAGGACGACGGCAGGGTGAGCACGATGATGACGACAACGACAGGGACGACCACAGAAGGGGGACGGGGGAGGAGAGAGAGGAAGGAAGGGAGGAGGGACGTGTTGGGAGCGTTTTGCTGAGCACAGCCTGCGGGCGGGACCGGGGAGGACGGAGGAGCGACCACGGAGGAAAGCGCAAACGGAGGAGGACGGAGGCCGCAGGAGAGCGACAGCAGGACGACGCTGGCGCGGATATGGCGAGACACCCGAAGTGCTCGGCGGGGCGCCGCCATCCGCCGCGGCGCCCAGAGCTGCAGGCTGCCGACGGCCCAGGCGACGCGGGGGGCGGCGACGCGGGGCCGCGGCGAGGGCGGTGCGGGCCGGGTGGAGCCGTGGCCGAGGCGGCCTGTGCGGGAGGCGGCGGTGCAAGGGGCTCCCGGGCACGTCGGCTCGAGGGCCACTGTTGGCCTTGCCTCGTCGGCGGGCACGATGCACATCCATATCATCCACTGCGTCTCGGACTTTCTGGGAAGGGGCGCCAACAGGCCGCGGCGCGGTGGATATGGAAAAGAGTCGGACCTCCAGGGGCGGAGTTGCTTTATCCACATCCACGGCGCCTGTGGCATCGGAGGAAGAAAGCCCGAAACTTCAAGACGCAGTGGATATGGATCAAAATCTTGCCCGCGTTGTCGGCGCGAGATCTGCTGTTGGGTGTGGCGCCGCAGCCTCCGACGGCCTGCTCGAGGCTACTGGCCTCGTCGCCCAAACGGCACGCAAAGCAGACCTGGGCTCGAGCCGTCGTCGGGCAAGGGGGGGGGGGCGCTGCTGCATGGCGTTGCCGTCGCCCGTGCCACGTCCCAGGCCCAGCGGATCGTGGGCGTCGTCGCCACTGGGGATTGGGCTTGCCAGGCGGGCCACGGCGGCACCACCCCGGGCGGGGGTCGCCGGGGGGGGGGGACCCGCGAGCGCCAGGTCGCGCGCCCCAGCGTGTGACTGGCCTCGCGGCCGCCAGGTCCCCCTCGCGCGACGGGCAGGCAGGGGCCAGGGCGAGGCAGCGCAGGTCGCGGAGAGCACCCGCCGAGCTTCACAGGGCAGGAGACACCGCGCAGGCGCCGGGTGGCCGCCCAGACGACCGTCCGCAGCAGGCGGGGGCCGCGAGCTGCCGCGATCGCCACCTCGTCGGCGCAGCGGCTGACGCCCTCGGCGATGGCGGCCCCTCGTCGACGCCCGCGCGAGGCAAGTGGCCGTCAACCTCCTCCACGCGCCAAAGACCAGGCTTGCGGCGACCGCCGCCGCGATCCCCCGCCGAAGGTCCACGCGAGCCCGGTGGGGCGCCGAGCCGCCGCGGAGGAGGGCAGCGAAGCGGTCGACCACCACGCCGCGGCGAGCGCGGCCGCGAGCTGACTGTCCGGCCGCGCCAGCACGGGAGGCAGCCTCCCTGGTGGACCCAACAGGAGGTCCAGCGAAAAGGGGGTGGTGCAATAGATCTGGTGCAATCGATTTGTGGGGGTGCCAATAGATTTGGGGTGTGCGATACATGTCCGGGCGCGAATGTATTGCTGGACTTTCGCGCGCAATGCACGAGTTGCAATACAATGAAATACAATTCTCACGCGCAGTGCATTTGCAATACGACGATTGGCCCCAAACCTATTGCACCACCCCCTTTCAGCTGGACCCTCGATCGGGTCACATGGAGCCTCATCGCGCAGCACGTCTCGGGCGTCAAGCGGCGATGGGCCGACGGCCTGGGCGACGCCAGCCATGACTCCCGCCGAGGCAAGGAGGGGCTGCACGGGATTGGCACGCGCGCGCGCGCCAGCGGCGGCAAGGCGGCCCCGTCGGCCCCGGCGCGGGCGAGCACATCGCATCCTTCTCCCGCGGACGCCCCGCGGCGGCCGATCAGGCCGACGGCGCCAGCGCGCCCGACGCCCAGGGCGCGCCCAGGAGTCGCGCAGGATTCGGCCATGACAGGCGGGGCAGCGACGCACTGGCGATGGCGGGAGAGAGGGGGTCGGCGAGGAGCGCGCTGCGCAGCAGACCGCGGAGGCCGCGCCCGGCGCGCGACCGGCGGAGAGACAGGCGCACCCCGCTGCCCGCCGGAGCAGGCGCTCCCCATGCGCCCCCCGAGGCAGTCGCCGCACGCAAAAGGGCGCAGGTCTCCCCGGTGTCCTCGCCGCTGTCGTCGCCAGCGTCGGCGCGCAGTCGCAGCGATCGCCCCGGGCCTGCTGCCTCCTCGGCACCGCCGCCCAATGCAGGAGCCTGCTGCAGAGTCGGGGCCGATTCGGGCGGGCGGCGATGGGGGGCGACCGAGAGGGGGGCGATAGGAGAAAGGCCCCAGAGTGGCCCTCTAGGGCCCCTAACATTGGAGCCAGCTGGCGCTGCAAAGGGGCCCCAAAGGGCCCCGTCACGACCTTTTCTTCCCCCCCCCCGATTGGGTCACCCCCCATTGCCACTCGCCCAGCTGATGGTCGACGCTGGGAAGACTGACCATTTTCTTATTAGGCTGGAGGGCTCAGGGTGAAAACCATCTGGGCTTTTTGCACCTCGAAAACCAATCCGTCCTGGGATTCACCTTTTGCAGAGTCAGGCCTCGAAAATCCATCGAACCGGCATTGCAGACTTCACCCTCTGCCCTCCGCCCAAAGAAAATGCTCGGGAAGATCGGCGCCGCGCTGGCCCCGCGCCCCCCGCGCCCCGCGGTCTTGCGATTGCGGGGCGCCCGCCGTGCCCTGCAGCCGCGGTCGAGCCTTGCGCCGCGGGCTCCCGGGCCCGCCCGCGAGGGACCCGCGGCACGCTCCGCGCCGACGCGACGCTGTCAGCGGCGCGTCCCACTGCGAGGCTGATCCGCCAGGGCACGGTAGACTCACATGGGGCTGACTCAGCATCGGTTGTCTGGGCGCCGGTTCCCACGCGGCGGGTGCACCGCAGCGAACTGCCTGGCGTTGGCATCGCACGTTCTTGACCAACAAGCACCCGCCCACGGACCTCGCTGGGACTCCTGTTATGGGGAGCAAGAGACTCGCGCTGGGGGATCGGCCAGGCAAGGCGTCGATGCTATGGCCGCGCCCCCTCTGGAGCTCGAAGGGTTCACAGGTTGCCTGGAGGCGGCTCTCTTTGCCCGACGGCCTGACAACTGAGCGGCAAAGTGCGCGAGGTGGGTGACCGGGTCGGTCTACCGCCCGCTCCCCGTGGAAAATTGGCATTCGAGCGTACGCGAGCGCTCTCTGGCGGACCCTCCGGGATGAAGGGCTATCGCCGAGAGCTGCTGCGCAGCACTCGTGCTTGCGGCCAGAATGCTCCACGCGAGGAGGCGACCCACCCAGTCCATCAAGGGCATGTCCTCTCAGTCTAGCGGCGCCCGGCTTCCCTGCTCAAGACCAGGCAGTTTAACCCCGCCGCAGGACATCAAGACGGCATCCAGTGATGCTGGAAAACTTTCTGGCGCGGCCGAACTTCCTCGGAGGCGCGCGACACGATGGTCTCCTCGTGGCTTGGGCCCGCTATCGCGCGCGAGCGCTGTCCACGCGCCCCGTTTCTCACTTCTGGCGACGCATTTGTGGGCGCCAACGCGATCGCGGGAGGTCGCTTTTTGCTTCCGCCGGCCCCCACCGACCTATCGCCGGCTTCCGCCGGAGGAGCCGCCGCCGTTCTGCTTCCGCCGCCTTCCGCCGCGGAGGAGAGGGCAGCTCCTTCGACCTCGCATGCAGGGCCCTTCCTGGAGCGCCCCACAGGGCCCCCTGGTCGCCCTGGACCCCAGAGTGCAGATGCCCTGAGATCCGACGCCTCGAAAAAGATGAGACATCGTGAACAATCACGACCGGAGCCCCGGACCCCATCTCTCCGCGCCACCCTTCGAGCCGCATCCCTTGCCGAGTGTCCCGGGGCCCGAAGCTGCGCGAAAACGCCCAGCTCGAGATCGAGTCGCCAGGATCTCAGGGTGTCTTCCCTGACCTTCCAGAGAGCTATTTTTCTTAGCACTCGAGACCTGAAAGCTGGAGAAGCTGAGCGACACGGCCTAGAACCAAGACGCAGAATTGCTCTGGGATAGGTTTTTAGTCGGGTGCTATTTCCCTGACCTTCCAGGAAGGCTAAAAAATGGCGCCCGACTTAAAAACCTATCCCAGAGCTATTATACGTCTTGGCTTTAGGCTGTTTCGTTTCGTTTTTTTGTTTTTAGGCCTCCCGTGCTAAAAAATAGCTCTCTGGAAGGTCAGGGTTTTTAGCCCTCCTGGAAGGTCCGAGCTCGTTCCGCGCCCGCTGGCACTCTTGCGGGCCTCCAGCGGCGAGCCCGCCGCCGCGCTCCCTCCGCCGGCCTTCCCGCGGCTGGCGAGGAGGCGCCCCGAGGGCGAGGCCCCCCGGCGCGCGCCCAGTGGGGGGCGGCGCCCCCCGCCCTGACGCGGAGGCGGGGCCCCTCCCAGAGGCGAAGGAGGTCAGGCGGAGGAGGAGGAGGAGGAGGAGGAGGAGGAGGAGGAGGAGGAGGAGGAGGTCAGGCGGAGGAGGAGAGGAGGAGGAGAGGAGAGGAGGAAGGAGAGGAGGAGGAGAGGAGGAGGAGGAGGAGGAAGGAGGAGGAGGAGGAGGAGGAGGAAGAGGAGGAGGAGGAGGAGGAGGAGGAGGAGGAGGAGGAGGAGGAGGTCGACTCCTCGGCCCCTCGAGAGCGAGGAGCCCTCGCGACTGCGCGGCCCACGCGCGGCCCGCCGCCCCGCCCGCGGCGCACGCGGAGGCTCGCGCGGGAAGGGCCTGCCGCAGGGGCGGCGGAGCATCCGCGCCGCAGGGCGACCCTCGTCGGCCCCGACGGGCTCCCTCGGAGAGGGGCCGCCCGCGGACTCTCGCAGCAGCCCGCCGACGAGGTGCGCGCCGCCGCGCTCGCAGAGCCCGCCCGCGGGGCCTCCGAGTGGCTCGCCGGAAAGCCCCAAGCCTGCGGCCCGCCCCCGCGGCGGCGGCGCCCTCGAGGCGCCGGCGCCCGGCGCCGGGCAGGGGCCCGAGTCGCTGCGTCGGGGGCACGGCCCGCGGTGGGGTTCCCTCCCAGACCGCCGCCTGGGGGGTCGACCTCCGCGGACCTCCACGGGCGGAGCATATGTCATATGGGCACATTCGGAAGCCCACTCGTGGTCTTCCGCAAAAGCTCGCAGGTGAGCACCACGACCGCTTTCCGGGCGCTCCCGCGCGCCAGCGGGGGCCCTGCGGTCTCGCCTCCTCTGGGGGCCCCTCGTCGGGCGTCCCTCGCAGGCGGGCTGGCCGGCGGCCATCTTGGCTCAGGCCCTCTTCTGGGGTTCAGCTAAGGGGTCCGCCCAGGACGGCAGCGCGGCGGAGCTGCACCCAGCGCTCGGGAGAAGTCCCCTGCGTAGAGTCGCCGCCGTTGCCGTCCTCGCCGCGTCGTTCTCTGCGCCTGCCTCGGGGCCGGGGGCCGGGGCCGAGGGGGGCCATGGCCCGCCGACGCTCTGCAAGGGGCAGCAGGCGACCGCAACCACATCGAGGACGCACTCTGGGGGATGTCTCGCGCATGCCAAAGTTCGCCGGAGCACCGCAGCCAGCTTCGCACTGGCCGCGGTCGATGCGGCGTCCCAGGACGGCCAAACCGACCACGGCCACGACCAAAGTGCTCACGTCGAGGTCGGTGGGTTCCGAGGGGGCCTCCCGAAAAATTCACTTCGTCGCGGTCGCGGCTCCGTGTGGCGCCCAGACCCTCGGCGTCCAGCCTACGCGGCAGGCGCCCGCTGAACCACGCCCTGCCGCAGCCTAAAACGAAGCCAAGACGAGGACAGCACCGGGTCACGGCACATCGGCGCCTCCCGGAGATCCTGCGGCTCTGGCGGATGTCTCCGGCGCCGCGGCCTCCTCGGAGCGTTCCAGAACGCTCTGAGAGCGTCCCGGGGCGCTCTTTCACGGATGCATCCTCGTCCCAGCCCCGCCCGGCAGCACCCCTCTCGGCCCCCTCGCCCGCGGCGCAACTGGGCCGCGCGGGCCAGGGCGCCGCGCGGCAGGGCGCGCGCCAGGGGAGCTCGGCAGCGCGCGCGCGCGCGCGGGCAGCGGCGGCCCGCGGCGCCCGCGGAGCGGCGGGCAGCCGCGGGCGCATCCGCAGCGGTCGGGGTTGCCGCGAAGGCGCCCCGGGCCCAAGGTGCCCCCAGCTGGCGGCTCCGTGCGGGAGCCTCTGGGGCCCCTGGGCCACGTGAGAGGCGCTCTGGAGGCCGCGGGAGCCCACTCGGAAAAACCTCGAGGGCGCCTCTGTGGCGCCGGAGGAGGAGGAGGAGGAGGAGGAGGAGGAGGAGGAGGTGGAGGAGGGAGGAGGGAGGAGGAGGAGGAGGAGGAGGAGGGAGGAGGAGGAGGAGGAGGAGGAGGAGAGGAGGAGGAGGAGAGGAGGAGGAGGAGGGAGGAGGGAGGAGGGAGGAGGGAGGAGGGAGGAGGGAGGAGGAGGACAGGGAGGAGGGAGGAGGGAGGGAGGAGGCGGGAGGAGGGAGGAGGGAGGGAGGAGGAGGAGGAGGAAGAGGAGGAGGAGGAGGAGGAGGAGGAGGAGGAGGAGGAGGAGGAAACGCCCAACACGGGGGCGGCAGCGCTGACGCCTCTGCGGCTGCACGGGGTGCCCGCAGCGGCCGTCGCGCCGGAGAGCACTGGCCCCCTCTCCGCCCCGCGGGGGGCGGCGGCCTCGGCCGAGCGAGGAGGCAGCGCGGGCGCGCCCCGCGCCGCCTCGCGGTGCAGCTGGCAGCAGCCGCAGCAGCAGCGAGGACGGCGCGCCGCAGGCGCTCCCCGCGGGCGAGGCGCGTCTCGGGGCCCGCGAGGGCCACGGGGGTGCGCCCTGCCCGCGCGTCTACGCCGTGGCTCAGGAGAACAACGTCGCTGGAGCCACCCAGGCGAACGAGTTCACCATCCATCTGGCCGAACATGGTCTGCGTGAACCAGTCGTCCGGGTCGACGCCGCCCACGAAGGCCCGGAAGCGGTCGTAGAGGTCGTCCATCACGGCGAACTTCTCGGCCACAATGCGCCGTGATCACATGCGCCGTGAGGAGGAAGGCGTTCTGCTCCGCGTCCGAAAAGTTCGTCATGACGGCCAGCGGCGGCGGAAGGCCACGCCGGGTCCGCTCAGGGATGATGCTGGGGCACTCCCCAAGCATGTGCTTGGTAGAATTCTAGACGTTACACACTCTGCAAGCATGAGGCACCCGGTTCGTCAAGTGGTGGAGCCTGTCCGCAGAAAGCATCCGCACCCACGCAGCACATCCACGCCCATGGTCTGTCTCGCGGGCCCTGTTTGCCGCCGATGAAGTGGCGCCAGCTGTCCACGCAGATGCTGCGCACTGCGATGTCCACCCGGCGGCTGGACGTCGAGACGGCCGAAATGCATGCTCGCCAGGCGTCCTGGACCAAGTGGCCGAGCTGGCGCTGGCGACTGGTGTCCAGACACGCCTGCTCCCCGCAGAAGATGCAATGGAACGGCAACTCTGCAAGGAAGAAGCCCATCTCGGACACGATCTCCTGGACGCGAAGGACCCGTCGCTGGGCTGACAAGGCCTCGCCGGCGGCCTCGCGCTGGCCCCATCCTGTTCCACTGGTGCCGGATGATCGCGTGGGCGCCGTTCTGGAGCGACCGCCGCAGCTGGGAAATCACCGTGCTGAATATAACTCCTGTAGGTTCCATTTTTCCATTTTTCTGCCTCACAGTCGTGAGGCGCTCCGTCTTCTCGTCACGCTTCTTCTAGTTACCCGAAGAGTCGCCAATCGCGCGCTCTTCTGCCCACGCGTCCTTCCGGATGCATGGCTCAGTGGTGGTGGTGGAGGTTCCACCCTTGTCATGTAAGAGCCCTCGTGGCCCCGCGATGGCGCCACGGCTGGAACTGGCGGCCATGAGGACCCGCTCCGCAGCCGAGCGGGCGCTCTGCAGGTCCTGCCCCGAGAACCCGCGGCGCGCCCCAATTTCACGGGCCCCACGGAAGGCGAGAGCAAGCAGCACTCTCCTGCCCGAGGGGGAGGAGGGAAGAGGAGGAGGAGGAGAAGGAGGAGGAGGAGGAGAAGGAGGAGGAGGAGGAGGAGGAGGAGGAGGAGGTCAGGAGGAGGAGGAGGAGGTCAGGAGGAGGAGGAAGGAGGAGGAGGAGGAGGAGGAGAGGAGGAGGAGGAGGAGGAGGGGGAGGAGGAGGAGGGGGGAGGAGGAGAGGAGGGAGGAGGAGGGAGGAGCAGGAGGAGAGGAGAGGAAGAGGTCAGGAGGAGAGAGGAGGAGGAGGTCAGGAGGAGTGAGGAGGAGGAGGAGGAGGAGAAGCCAGGAGGAGGAGGAGGAGGAGGAGGAGGAGGGCGGAGGAGGAGAGGAGGAGGAGAAGGAGAGGAGAGAGGAGGAGGAGGAGGAGGTCAGGAGGAGGGAGGAGGAGGAGGTCAGGAGGTGAGAGGAGGAGGAGGAGGAGAGGCGGAGGAGGAGGAGGAGGAGGAGGAGGAGGAGGAGGGAGGAGGAGGAGGAGGTCAGGAGGAGGAGGAGGTCAGGAGGAGGAGGAGGGAGGAGGCGGAGGGAAAAGGAGGCAAGAGGAGGAGGAGGAGGAGGAGGAGGAGGAGGAAAATCGGCAGCGTCCACTGCGCGCTCAGCTCTCAGCAGATCTTCTCCTTCACTGTCGTGGAAAACCGGTGTTCCGCCCGCAGAGCCGGGCCTCGGTGGGTAGTTTTGCCCGCGAGGTCCAAGCGCACGCCGAGCGAGTCGACGCGGGTGTTTGGAACGATGCCACGTGGCAGGTCGCGCACCCTGAACTAGACGAGCGCGTTCCACTACTCGCAAAGTAAATACTCGCAAATGGCCTGGATCCGCCGTGGGGGATCTACGAAAAATTACATCAAAGCTGACAAATGTTTGTTCGGACGTTTGCGAGTGTGGAACGCGCTCGGTGATGAACGCCGCTTTCGTCTCCTTGCCCTGGTCTTCGCGCTGGCCCGACAAGCGGTCGAGCTCCACTGGCGTCCCCGCGAGCCGCCGAGGCCTGCGTCCAGGTGTGCTGCCGACGGCAGTCCTGTCGTCCACGTGCGTGTCGAGCTGGACCTCGGGACGGCATCCAGCTAAAGCTGCGCATGCTGCTGGTGACGTGGAGTCGCCTCGCCAGGCGCCCAAACGAAGGTGGGGCGGGCGACATTGGAGAGGAACAGAAGAAACGCGCGCGCGATTTCTCCGTCATGCCCATCTGGCGCGCGAGACGGGCGACCCAGATAGGGCAGATCTGGCCGAGTGCGTTCTTCAAATCGAGAGAACGCGTTTCACGGGCGCTTGCCTTGGGAACATTCGGCGGCGCGTTTCGACCTGGGGGGTGAGCCCCGCCGTCGGTCAAAACCAAGGGGACTGCCCTCCCCCAAACCCCAAACCCCCCTCCCCTTTCCAAGGGAGGGGGGGGTTCACCTCCCCCCCCCTTCGGCGCCGGCGCCAGCGCAGGCGGCCGCCAGCAGCGCCGACGGCGGGGACGCGGCGACGATGACCAGAGGCAGCCCAAGGGGGGGGGGGATTGATTCAACCCGCCCCCCCCCCGGGCCCGCTCCCTTGGCGCCGGCGCCGGCGCTGGCGGCGGCCAGCAGCGCCGGCGCTGGCACCGGCGACGGCGGAGACGCACCGACGATTACCACCACTACCACCACCACCACCATACCACCACCATCACCATCGCCTCAACCCACCACCACCACCACCACCAACAACCCACCACCACACAACCGTCACCATCACCACCACCACCACCACCACAGCCACCACCACCACCACAACAACTACCACCACCACAACTCACCATCACCACCACCACCACCACAAAAACCCACCACCACTACCACCACCACCACAATCTACCACACCACCACCACAACCACCGCCACAACCACCACCACTAACAGCAGCACAACCCACCACCACCACCACAAATCACCACACCACCACCACAACCACCGCCACCACCACCAGCACCACCTCCACAAACCACCGCCACCACCACAACCCACCACCACCACAACCCACCACCACCACCAACACCACAAACCACCTCCACACCACCACCCAACCACCACCACACCACCACCACCACCCACCACCACCACCACCACCACCACCACCACCACCACCACCACCACCACCACCGTCGTCCTCGTCGACGCTCCCCACCGCCGCCGGGGGAGGGTTCCGGTTCCACCCCCCCCCCCCCCTCCAGGCGACCACAGAGCGCGCTCTTTCTTCAGATCGCTCTTGGATTGCCCGCTGCGCGTCCGCGAGGGGGCGCCTCCAGCGCGCTGCCTAGCAGCGCGCGGGGCGCACGGGCGTGCCGGCGTGCAGTCGGATGAAGGGCACCACGCGCCGAGGTACCAGGGTTCCCGTGGGCACCAGGCCAGGGGAGCAGAGAGAGTGCAAAGGATGCCCAGAATCGAGGGATGCCGAGGGTGTCGCGCTTCGAAGGAGCATCCTCAAGGCCAGATTTGGCCACACATCGTGGACAGCATGTGGCGAGGGATCTTGACGTAGTACCCCACGCGTGCCGCCGTCTTGAAGAACAGGACCACTTGGGAGGACAAGGGGGGCCTGATGGTCAGGAGGGGGCCTTGGAGAGCAACCTGAGCGGAGGCGACGAGGACCTCCCGCCACAGAGACTAGAGCATCAGGGCGAAAAGGTCGACTGTGGCCAACGATCTGCACGCCACCATGCAGCTCATCGTGGTCAGGCAGACTGGAGGGATGAGGGAGGAGGGAACACGGGGTGAACGAGGGAAGAGGAGCGAGGGAAAGGCAGGAGGGATAGGGCAGGAGGCACGGGGGATTGGATTGGATTGGACCCGTGGAAAGAAACAGTGTGAACATCCTGGCAAGGTGACGCGCCTATCTTTCAAGCTTGAAGAGGCACGGGGGGGGGCAGGAGGGAGGAGGGAGGAGGGAAGACGGGAACACGGAAGGGAGCAGGGAGGAGAGATGATGGAGGAGGACGGACGGGGCACGAGGGAGGAGGCAGGAGGCAGGAGGCAGAGGGGAGGAGGGAGGAAACGAGTGCCGGGGAAGGCAGAGAGGGAGCACGATCGGGGACAGCAGTTTCGGGAGCAGGAGCGGAAGCGGCAGCAGCAGCAGCAGCAGCACGAGGCCTCCCGACATCCTCGACACGCCCCTGCTGCCACCAGCTCCGGAGCTTCCTCCCGGCCTCTTGAGCCGCCTCATGGCCGACGAGCGGCAGGGCGACTGACAGAGCCGCCTACGACTTAATCAACTAGGGGAACAAAAAGTGGCATAAGCATAAAGACTCGGAGGTCCGCGCGGATTTCTCGGATCGGCGCTGGACCCCCCTCCCTGGCGCGCGGAGAGCGCCAAGGGCGGCGCCGGAGGCGCCGCCTGGGGGCCCCAGCGCCGATCCGAGAAATCCGCGCGGACCTCAGAGTTTTTATGTTTATGCCACTATTTGTTCCCCTATCGAAGAAGCGAATGTCAGCAGCGCGACCAGCTATACAGAGCAGGCCTCGCGAAGGCCGCGCTGCTGCGCTTTGGCTGCCGGCGTCCTTCTCCGAAGTGGAGGGCAGAGGGCCCAGACTTCCGAAGGCGCGTCGAAGACAAGATCTAAGTCGGGCCTGTCCTCCTACAGGGGGATTCTGGACGAAACAAGAATATTCAAAAAATGCACCGAAATGGTCAAAAAATGACCCAAAATTAGTCCCCTGACTATTTTTGACTATTTTTGAATTCTCGTCCTTTAGAGGGACACGCCCGACTTAAGACAAGATGGGTGCTTCATCCTTCGATGCAGCCTCCAGGGGACCAAGGGGAGCGGCGCTGATGCTGGAGGCCACTGGCAGACCCTGCGCTTAGGCGAGGAGGCCAGAGCGAGAGAGAGAGAGAGAGAGAGCAGGGAAGGTTAGGTCGGGCACGTCCTCCTGCTGGCGGGTCTGGGAAGAGGAATGGAAATCAGTCAAACATTCCCAAAAATAGTCGAAAACTCGTCCCTGGACTAGTCTTCTACCATTCTTGAGCATTCCTCCTGTAGAGGGACATGCCTGACTCACAGGTAAGGGCAGCCGCAGGCCTGCAGGGACACAGCCACTGCCAGTGCAGAGGGCAGCAGGAAGGGCCGGGAGGGGAGGCGAGGGGCAGCGAACATCGCTCCGCGGAAGAAACCAGGCGCACACGACGCTGAGTTTTACAGCGGCGCTTGGCACAGGAGATGGCGCATCCCCCCCGACTGGGTCGCAGTCTGCCATGGCCGAGTCCACGGGAAGAACGGTTGCAGATCTGCCGGCCCCGCCCCCAGAGGGGCCTCCAGGGTGTGAGCCGACACGCTGCATTGGTTTCAGAGCATGGCTTCGGTGATGGATGATACAGCTGACGGTTGACAGGTCCGATGGGGAGAATTCTTTGAAGAACTCTGAGGACACACCCTCCCTGATCTCCAGCCTTCTTCCCGAGGGCGCCCCGGGATTCGCCATGAGGGCACCAGGGAAGAAAAGATCGTGGGGCCCCCCATGGCAGACCGGATTCTGGCTCGATGCGCTCCTTGCACTGGGCGCGGCAGCCTGAACCCTGCCCCTCCCCGGCAGGGTCCCCCCCGGCCAGCCCACCAAGGACGCCTCCCGCAGCAGCCTGGGTGGTGCCGCCTCGACTACGGCCTCCCCACGAGCCCGTTTGAAGGGGAACTGGGACACACAAATAAATACACACAAATAAAAATATCCCCCATATTTTCAAATATGTTCTGGGTTCTTGTCTTCCCCCCCACTTCCCACATTTTTCCATATTTTCTGGGGATCGGCGATTAATTGTGTCTGTGTGTTCTTTCCCCTCCTGACCTTTTTAGAACGCATGAAGTCCTGCGCTCCGCCAGCCACGGCCCCCCCCCTTTCGAAGTGCGCCGCCCCCACGGCCACGACCCCACTTGACGAACACGGCGGCGGGCCCGCGCCCCCAGAGCAGCGGGGCCCCCTTGCAGATGACGATCGATCCAGGCTGCCAGGGCCACGAACCCCCTTTGCCGACAACCACGCGTCTGCACTCCCAGGGCCAGGATCCGTTGCACGCTGCCGGGAGTCAGCGCTCCTAGGACTACCGACCCCCGGTGGGGGGGAGGGGGAGGGGGAGGGGAACGAAGAGGAGGGAGGAGGGAGGAGGGAGGAGGGAGGAGGGAGGAGGGAGGAGGGAGGAGGGGAGGAGGGAGGAGGAGAGGAGGGAGGAGGAGGAGGAGGAGGAGGAGAGGAGGAGGAGGAGGAGGAGGAGGAGGATCAGCTGTACACTGCCAGGAGCCAGCGCTCCTAGGGCTACGACCCCCGGCGAACTGCAGCGAGTCCGCGCTCCTGCGGCCGCGACCCCCTCAGGAACTACAGCGGGTCCGAACCCCCAGGGTGGCGACCCCTCGCAGGCTCCAGGGCCGCGATAACGGCGATGCTGCTTGACGGTGGTGCCGGGAACTAAGCTGCAGGAGATCACGAACACGCATTCCTACATCTCCAGCATGCGAACGTATAGAACGAAAACGACACAGCGACTTGCAGAAAAACACGAGCCACGCATGCCCACAATACCGAGACCTGCATCGCCATTACCTACTTCGCCGTTACCGCGTCTACGGGAACGTATGCGCTACCATGGCCACGCCCCCTGTAAATGGTAAAGGAGTCGCGCTCACAGGGCCACGACACCATAATCATTGCAGAAGATAAGAATGCCACCAGGGCTACGATCCAGTCATGACTGCAGGCTATGCGCTCTCAAGGCCACGATCCCGTGTCACTGACGAAAGACCCGTGCTCCCTGGGCAACGACCCCTGGCCAAGGACAAGACAGACTCCACGCTCCCACAACCACGCTCTTTTGTACAATACCACGCAAGAGCCGCGCCCCCAGGGCCACACAACCCGTGCGAAAGTCGCGATGGTACCGCGCATCCAGGGCCACAATCTCCTTCGCAAACACAGTCGACCGGTATCAGAAGGATGCACGATAAGGATGCAAGTGCCTTGGACGCCCAATTCGAAGCTTTCCGAGCGGGGCACGGCCAACAAAAGTGGCCAAGGATGGACCGAGGAGGCCGGGATGCAAAGGTACCCTTGGGAAGGTTGCCCATCCTTACTATGCGGATTACGTGCAACAAGTGTTTCGCGCACCGCGCCCACGGGGCCGTAACCCCTAGCAGACCACAAAGTCTCCGCGCTCCCAGGGCCGCGATGCTGAGTTCAATAT